ATAAATCGCTTAATGAAAATTGATACAAAATCTAATTAATAGTAATCAACACTGACAATTATTTAAAGTTTTTAGGAATATCTCGCATATTAATAAAATATTTTTTTGTATTTTAAACTTATTTATTGAATAAATAAAATAAATAATTGAAAACTGTATACTGTATTTTCCAAAAAATTTTTTTATTGGAATAAAACTTCAAAATTTTTTGGATCCCAAAAAACTTGCAAAAAGAGATAAAACTTGATATATGGTAACACTGACTACATATAAAAACAATTTTCAAAAATGCATACATAAATGTAATATTATTTTAATATATGTATGGGCAATTTCATGTGACCCAACTCAAAAAATCGATTTTGTCGAAATTTGCACCAAGGTTAGTACTGATGGTCAGACACAATTTTCAGCTATTAGTCCTAGCAAAAATTGCCCAAAGGAGTTCAGATAGATATTTCTTCATTGTTTCTAAAAAATATTTTTTTTTTAATTTTTTTTTTTTTTTGATGTGCTTAAAAGAAAGCTTATACTATTTCCTTTAAGGGCTTTATAGTCCCATAATGGGATGCGAGTGGGATACCTATCAAAAAAATAAATATTTTTTACTCAAGAATAACATATTTTTAAATATTTGGCAGTTAATTTCCCCCTATTTTTTCAAAATGGATTTTTGTTGTATATTTTTTTACTCAACAGAAAGCTTAAACCATTTCTTTTAAGAGCTTTGTGATTCCTTGGTAGGATGCGAGTGTGTATATATTATATGTTAACTCAAAAACTTTGCTTTTGGAGTTAAAATATTATATATACCTATATATAATTATATGTTACATTTTTTTCCACATATCCCCCTTGCATCCAACTCACTGACCACAAAGCTCTTAAAGGAAGTGGTCTAAGCTTTATTTTGAATAAAAAAATACAAGAAAAACCACCATTTTGAAAAAATAGGGGAAAAGTAAGTGCCAAATATTGAAAAAAATTATTGGGTTAAAAATAACTCACATCCCATTATGGGACTATAAAAAGGGCCCATTAAAAAAAAAATAAAATAATTTTTTTTTATTTTTTTGGAAAAAATGAAGAACAATCTGAACTCTTTTGGATAATTTTTGCTAGGGCCAATAGTTGAAAAGTTACACTCATTTTAATAAAACCCTGTATGACCAAAATGCAGAAATTTGACCCCCTCTAAGTCCGGCACTTCTTGACCGATAGAGCTGAAAATGTGTGTCTGGCCTACTACCCCATAGTACTAATCGGAAGACATCGATGTAAAAAGTTGGTGGAAGCATCTAATTCAGTTCTTAATTGGGGGTTGAATTACGAATGATAGCGCGAATGACGAATAATTGCATCGTGAGAACGGGGTGCTATTTAGAAGTAACAAATTAACAAAACACATATTTAAATTGTAATAAATATAAAATATGATTTCTACTATCAGTACGAATTATGATTTAAGATATGGTCACCGTTTAGTTACATACATACATTAGGTATTAATAATAACGCTAATAATACATATAAATTTTAAAATCAGTACTAATCAAACTTTTACAAATACGAAATCAGACATAGACATTAAATATTTAAGTAGAAATAATTTAATAAGACATAACTTAAATTTAATCTTACTTATATTAAGATCAGACGTGGCAAATATTTAGCATCCAATTTTAGTTAATTTTTTAGGAAAACCACACAGTTATTTTAACTAAAGCTGGAGGTCCACACTACGCGTTTTTCATACGTTCTTCGCATTCAAGTTACAAGTCAAGTTTTTAACCATAAATTGTTGCTTTACCCGGCAAAAAAAGATCTTCCAAGGAAGCGAAAATTAAGCAAAATTTACTCCATGGAAGTACTGAAAAAGAACTCAAGAAGTGGGGATTTTAATACAGGCTTGTCATAGGAGGGATGTCCTTTTAATTGGATTTCAAATTCACTAATTCTGAAGTCATTCCCAAGAAGTATTTTTTATGTTCTTTTTTTTGGAAGTTATTTGGAAGTGATATTGTAGTATTATAGAATATAAATAATTTGACTTAAATGAATTAAGGAATTACACACATTTAACATAAAACGTATTTTGGGGTTTTATGTTAATTTTTTAACTAAAAAAATGTTAGTACAAAAAAATATACATTCAGCTTTGAAAATGTATATTTTCTTCTTTGGAAGTCATTACTTCCTTAGATGCAAAAAAATTCACTTTTATTATTTATTTTATTCACTTGGTGCTACTTTTGGTGATAAATGTAATTCTTTTGGAAGTACTTCAATATATTTTGCTGGGTATTTATAAATATCTTTGCATTTTCCTACAGCTTTTATTTATTTTTTTCATCATTAAATTTAAGAAATGTATTTAAATTGACGCGTGGTGTAGACCTTCAACTTGATATTTTGAAGTTTGTAAACACCGGTGTTTAGAAATTTGCGATTGTGTTTTTATGCGCATTTAGAAGATAACATACTGAATTTACAATATAAAGGAATCAAGTATAAAGTTAAAAAATATGAAAATATTTACAACGCAAAATCTCTAAAATGATGAAGTAAAAAATGCTTTGAAGTAATCAGTTTGATACCCATTGATGTTTACTTTGAAATTGTAAAACTTTACCTCAGAATTTTCATTAATTTTTGTTCGTTATTTAATTTGGATGGAGTTGGATAATCTTTAAGAAACCTAAAGCTGGAGGTCCACACTACGCGTTTTCGCGTCAAAGCATTGCATGCTTTCCATACCTTCTTTGCATCCTACGAATCAATGTAACGCCTTTTAAGCGTGAATTTCTTGCTTTATTTCTAAAGAACGTTTATAAAGAGCGTTTTTTTTAATTTTTTATTTATATTTTCACAATTTAACTCGTTTTAGTTTATTAAAATTGATAGTACACAATCAAAATAGAATATAAATAGTCAAAATCAGATGACATGTTCTTGCGCCGCTTATGACGCTTAAAAAAGTAGAAAGTAGATATACTTTACGCATTCTTCGCGTCAAGGCATCCTGCGCTTTTGTGCTTGTAAAGCCCCCTTCACACGAGCACACAAGTAATATGATCTGTCAAAATTTTGTGTAGAAGAGAACGGATAGGATCGTCTAAACGCAATATGTAATGAAACAATCACACATTGAGAGGAAATACGGATGGAAAATTTGACAGTCGTATGGCTCTCTTCATTTTTTGAAATGATTAAAAAAAACAAGCAAGTCGCATTAGATCAGGGATGTATTTTTATGTAAACACATACAAAAAAAATTGAAACAGCTGTTCCATCTTACTTTGATATTGTTTTATACCAATCGTGTAAACACAAAAAATATAAATCATACGACTTTTATTCTCTTTTTTGCCATACGGATGGAATTTCATTTTACTTTTTCATTAGACTTGTCGTACGTAAAGTGTGACCGTGTGAAGGGCCCTTAACTGGTAGCACACAACAACATTGATTCCACTTTTTGACAGCCGCGTAGAATGCGAAGAAACGTATAACGGGTGGTGTGGACCTCCAGCTTTAGTTCCTTAATATTACTATAAAAATTTATAATTAAAAGAGCATCAATTAAAACGTCCTGTGAAACATAATTTTTTGGAATCTGTTGTAAGAATTAATTTCGAAAATTTATGTTTTACGTTACATTAATAAAGAGTCTGTGGCTCATAAAATTTTGTTTAATTATATAAGTTATATAATAGAAAAACATAATATTGAAGCTAAAAACATTTTAAATAAAAAAAATTAAGCACATAAAGAGTAAAAAATGCTCTAAAAAGTGCTTTAAAAATAAATATTTTCATATCCATAAGAAATTTTTTTTAATATCTTCTTAGAGATAAGATATGCAAATCGATCTATAAATATGAAATTCCTTTAATATGTGTAAATATCTTATCCATATCACGCACATGACAATACATTAATTTGCATATTTCTGACTTTCCCGATAATAACCAACTTTTAAGTTTATATTCGCCATGTCAAATCTTAAATTTATTAGGTATGCTGCTGAAAAAAGTTAAGTGCCTTAATGAAAAATTTAGTAATGTAGCTGTTAAAATATTAATGGGTTATATGTATGACACACAGAGTGTCGAATGGTTAATAAAAAATATACATACATATATACAGTTGTCAAATTAATGAATCGTGAATGTATTTTATTAATTAGGGAATTTCGAGGATCAAGAGCCGGATTATTCTGACAATTAAAATAAAATTGCAAAGCTTAATTAATTTTAAAAATTGATACGATTTTTTCAACCTTTTCAGGATAAGAAAATGTTTCCTTTTTAGCCACCATTATATTAGGCCAACAAATTTTTAAACCAGAGATCAAAGTATACTTTTCTAAAGTACTGAGCGTAATACATACATATGTACATATATATACTTTGGTCTTTGGATTTCGACTTTTTTAATTTTTTTGTTATTCAATAGTTTTAAAAAGGTGAAAAAAGTCTGACGTGGTTATATTTCTTCAGCAAATAAATTGTTTTCTCGTATTAATTAAGTGCTCTGTTTCCTAACCGGTTGTAATATGAAACATTTTATATTTTAATTTCAGAATTTGACAATTGTGTCGTGCTATCCGTCCCCGTCGAAACTCCCAAAATAACTAATATTATACATAATATGTATTTGTTATTACGAAAAAGGTATATATATTCACAAAAATAATTAAATAATAATTTTTTATTAATGTAAATTCGCTGTCATCTGTAAAATGTGCCGATTAAAAATGACATACATACATATACATTCATTCGAAAAATTTGCTTAAGTGCAGTGCAAGTGTCAAAATATTTATACTGCATTATTTGCAATTTTTCAAATTCATTATATACAATTTTCACATTCAATATTTAGTATCCTATTCAGTCTAATAAATATGTATTGACTGCTTTATTACAATTGAACGTTTCTTTATACATATACTTCATTCGGATATTTCCATAACTTCTCTCGAAACATTTACTCACCCTGGTTTCAATTTTTTCTGATTTTCGTGTGTAAACATTTTCATCTTGTTTTTCCTCAAATGTCTCATATTTTGACACATTTGTAGTGGGTTGGTAGGTTTCCTGTTGTGCAAGGTTTTTATTAAGTTGTTGTTTTATTTGATTTTCATTAGCTAATTTTTGGGCCAACAATTTCTGCTGTTCAATTTCTTTTGCTAATTCCTGTTGCTTTTTAAGTAATTCCAATTCCATTTCTTTAAGATGGGCAAAATTTTCTTCGGCTTGGATATTACTATCAATACTTGATATAATGTCCTTAATTGTATTATTTAAATTGTCCTAAAAGTTAAAATGAAAATGTAAAATTAGTCAACTGAAAATAAATGAATTTGATAGCTCATAATTCTTTAGCTATTTTCTTCAGCATTTCCACTTTCGGAGAATTTTTTTTACTCATTTGGAGGTATACATTTTTCCAATGTAGGAAACTCTCGTTCTATTTCCTGCTTAAGAAATGATTTTATTAACGCACTTTAATACAGCACCGAGTTAACTTTCCTCGTGAATTGTATGTATGTCATGTCAGAACAATTGTTATTACAATACTCAACATTTGAAAGTATGAATACATACATCTATATATGTAATATAATTTCCTTAATTTTTTTGCCTATCCAGAGATTTTTGAAGCCCACAGGTGGGCTAGAAAGCTGAAAGGCATAGATATGTATAGTAAAATAACTAGGTCAAATCCTAACGTAGCCGGATTTTTTATTTTTAAAGCTGAAAAATACCAAATATACATTCCAAAAAATGGAGCATAGACTGAAGTAGTCGGATCTTAGATTTTTGGACTACGGACGAAGTATTGAGAGGAAAAATTTTGTATTTTTGTAAATTGTATTTTTTATTACTTTTCAGTTAACTTCAGATATTAACTAATTTGAAAGACCCTCAATAACCTAGAAAGATGTGAATTGTTATGCATGTTGCACGGACTAAGGAGAAGATAAACACTGAACTAGATTTTTTAAGTCCGGCGTTAGGGAGGAGAGGAAAAAATGGTCTGGTAAGTGAAAGCAGGTTGAACTTATCACTCTCTCTTTAAACTTCCAGTGCCTTTAATCGAAACTTCTAACTTGATTATGCAGACAAACTCAATTGAGGCAATTCTGTTTAAAAAGCAAAACTCATTATTTTGGACCAGATAAATTATTAGATAACTTTTTGCAAAATGATAAAACATTTGCAGGTAAGTTATTACTGCCAAAAGGAGATTTTCCTATGGGTTACATATTTAAAATATTCAGGTCCCTGGTCATGTTTTAAAATTTTAGCTTTAACATTAAACATTCGATCTATAAGGTTATCATACAGAGATTGGCAATTTGACGTTAAACATAGAGATTGGAAAGTATGAAATTGGACTCAAATACCAAATGATATGATTTTTGCAAACGAGGGAGCATTAAACGTTTTGGAAGGATTGTGTTCTACATACTTAGGTATTGATTGCTGAATCAGAAAACTGCCGGGTCGTATTTTTAAACAGCATTTCGCCATCAGGAATGCCGCCACAAGGTAGGAGCTGTTGTTACTCTTCTTTCGCTCATTCAACACTTAGAAAGGACTATGGGATGGCATAAGATTACAAGTCATAAAGCTATCGTAATCGTATTTGCGCAACTAACTTCCTACGCACTGCCGATGGAAGCACGTCTAGCGCAGAGTTAGACATTAGGAGAAGTGTTGAATTTTTAAGGTTCCCAGATGACATCAAAATAAATGTTATTCATGCAGATGTAAAGCAGGGAATGTTTCGTAAGGGCAGTTTTATATTGTACTTATATAAAAAAATGTTTAAAGTTTGTTCTTTTGATAATTGTTTGTTGAATTCATTAAAAGAAAAAAATATTAAAAAATAATGAACTAAAAATTGTTTGTACAATTTCGTTAATTAATTATTAAGTTCATTTATATTGTATTTTAATTAATTATCCTTAATTTTGTAAATAAATTTTTTTGGTTATTTTTTTTTTTTGCCAACCAGATTTAATTTTTCTTGCCTGGCAGGGACAGGCTTAAAAACTAGTATATTGATAACAGCCCTTTTTTGTAACAGAGAGATGACTATGCTTCCTTAGTTATGAATTTCATTATAAATTATCTGTTTTTCATGGTAAAGTGAATCAAAAATACAATATTTATAATTAATTACCTGTTTAACATTTTCTTGTTGATTAGTTTTAGTTTCGGCTGAAGGAGCATCTGTGACTGTTTGTTCCTTAACAAGTGGTGTGGCAATTGATGGTTGTGATTCAGCTTCTGATGATATCTACAGTATTGAAATATAAACTTAAATAATTACACAATATAATACTCAGTGAATGGGTTTTTATATGAGGGTAGTCCCAGATCAAAAATATTACACTTAATTTCTGCTTTAACCTCAGTATGTATGTACATAGAAACGTGTATATATGAATGGAAGGTGTATATTTATGAATGTATGTAAATAGTTAATGATTGGGAACAATTAGTGAGAGAATGTGAAAATGTATATTAAATAAATGACATACATACATCTATCATACACTATATACATTACATGTATTTATTTGATAACATTAAATTTTAGTTATGACCAAGAATTGCATGTTGCTTTTTATTCGTGTCGTCAACTACCTGATCGTGCTGTTCTTGTTGCTGGGAACTTTCGTCAGATTTTTTCGTTTCCTCAACCGGCTTTCTACTCTCTTCTTCATTTACTATTTCAGCTTCTTCTTCTTCTTCCTCATCCTCTTCTTCCTCTTCCTCTTCTATCTCCTCTTCCTCCTCTTCTTCGTGTTCGTTATGTTCTACTTTCTTTTCTTCTGAAACTTGTTTCTTAACGGTTTTTTCGATCGGTGCTTCAGTGGTTGTTTCAGTTTTTACTTCTTCTGTTGTGGGTGTCGGTGGTGTCGTTGTTATAATTGTTGGTGTTTCCTTAGTTGAGCTTGTAGTGGTTACAACAGTTTTAGTGCCATCAGGAGTTACTTTCTTTACAGTTGTCACGGTAATAGTTTTTGTTTGACCGCCATCCGGATTATCGATTACCTTCTCAGTTATCTTTTGAGTAACACCTTCCTCAACTTCTTCGTCATTATTTTCAACTTCTTCTTCGACAATTTCCTCGATTTCCTCTTCATCGTCTTCTTCTTTCAACTTTTCCGTCACAGTCTCCTCAACAATTTTGGTTTTGTCGTTTTCGCCAACAACATGTTCCTTAATGGTAATTGTAACTTCAGCTTCCTCCACTGTCTTGGTATTTTCTGGAAGGTCTTCAACACATACAGATTTGTCAGCAACACTGTTAGGCTGTGTTAATTTAAGATCACGAAAAAGGTGGAATAGGATTGTTTGTTTGATTGGTTGGTTGATGGTTTAATTGATTGGAAGTGTCGGGTAAACAAAGGGGATGATGTATATTTAGTGTTGTAGCCACGTAACAAAAAAATGGAATGCAACAATGAAAAAAATAATATTATAATAAAGAGTTCACATATCTTAGAAAATAATTTTCAATCTGAATTATATGCTATATCAAAGCAAATTATCTTGAGATAATTAAAATAATACTAACCGGATTATTAAGAGCCAAGCCTTAAATATTTTTCCACACCAAATGCACCAACATTAATATATAAATTATTACAATCTAATTATTCAAATTCAAATGTTTTTCATTTTTTTGCCTTTCTCTTATACTTTATTAAATTACCCCCCGAATTTAGAATTTTTTTTGAAAACCTATATGAAAAGCACAAAACCAAATATTGAATGGGTTTTAAGTCGGTTTTAAGAGTGTTTTATTTATATGATGTTGGATAGACTCTGGATAAATTTCACGAACAATTAGGTGTTGAAACGACTTCATCAAAGCGAATCGATTATAATACCACTTTTAGCTGAGGGGACACCAACGTGCGACACGAGTCATGTGACACGAGTTTGTTGGCAAAGGGGGTAAAGAAGAAAGAGAAGTAGCAAAAGACGCACGAATCGTAATTTGAGGGGTTTTTTTGCTATCTCTTTTGTTACGCGTTCGTATTTTTGGCAGTTGCTTTATTTTTATTCTCCACTCAAGGAGTGAAGATCGCGTGCGATCCCACTAATGCATGAATCAGTGTTGCCACTTGCAATATTTTGAATTTTATTTACATTTCATTTAATCCAAAAACAATAAACATTTTAAATATTTTTGTTAAATTTTAGTTATTTTTATAAAAAATATAAATAATTAAATAAATAACTATAAAACAAGCAATATTTCTCAGCTAAACTCATATTTTAATAATCAATTGGGTGTTATTTCGCCAAATTTGTATATATTATTAAAGTATATTTGTTAAACATATTTATTATAACATTTAATTAACAAATATTTTAAAAATAAACATATTTAATGTTAAACAATATAATAGAAATAACATTTAAGAATCATAAATATGGCAACACTAACAGAAAAAAGAAGGGCATTTAAAAATGAATGGAGAAAAAACCCTGCGACATATCCCCTCAGCTAAAAGTGGTCTAAGTTTAATACCAAGTTCACATGAGCAGCTGAATTACTTAATTCGGCATCTGAGTGATAATAGCCAAATAATACCTCGTTCACATGATGCAATTATTCGTCATTCACGCTCTCATTCATCATTCAACCCCCAATTACATACTGAGTGACATGATTGGCCATACAAAATTTCAGCTGCTAATTACACAAGCTGTACGTAATTCAGTTTGAATTGCGTACGAATGAGTGGCATCTCTAATTTTAATCGGATATTTTTTTTGGGTTTAATTAGATTGGCGTTGCATTAAGCACTCATATTGCCAGTTATCACACGTTTGTCCGGAGAAACTCCACCAAACGACCTATACCTTCATATAAGAAGTTGGAGCACCGAACTTAATTTCATCCAAAGTATTATTATCTCCACCAGAAATAAGTTTTAGAGTTTTAATGGTCTCCACCAGTATATATTTGAGTTTAAATGGTCTCCACCAGTTAAAAACATAACCTCACTCTGAGGTAAAACGAAAGCACGCGTTAAATGAATACATCGCATAACTTAGAAACAGTTATACGAAGTAGATCATTAAATTAGTGCGGGGTGAGAAGTAATTCTGTCGAAAGCTCGGCAACAAGCACAAGCCTGACCGTCCTTAAGAAATAATAAAAACGATGACGCGAGAGTTGTTCCCCAACTCAGACCTGAATTACTACTCGATTTATCATAATCAATTGTTTGTTTTCATTGGATAGAGACAAATAAAAAATAAAATTATAAAAAATGCAAATAAATAGAAAATATATAACTTAATTTGTTAAAATTATGTAACAAACGTATTTTTGTATCATACATGTATCATATTCCAAAAAATGGCAAAATAATTAATAAAAAAAAAAAACAACATGGCGATGAACTGTCAAAACGAATGTGCCGTAGAAACGGATTAATTGGCAACCGTTATTCAGACTACACATTCGTAATTCGCTTTGAAAGTTCATCGTCTTGTTTTTTATTCATTATTTTGTTATTTTTTTAGGAATATATACATATGTAAGTGTATTATACAAAAATACGTTTGTTACATTGTTTTAACAAATTAAGTAATATATTTTCTATTTTTTTTTTGTAATTGTAGTTTTTATTTATCTCTAACCAATGAAAATAAAGAACTGATTTTATAAATACCCGATAAAAATTAGAGATGACAATCAGTCATTCTTAATTCGTAGGTAATTCAAACAGAATTGATTGTGTTATTCGCAGCAGAGCTTTTGTATGGCCAATAATGTAATTCAGTTTGTAATTGGGGGAATGACGAATGATAGCGTGAATGTTGAATAATTACATCGTTTAAACGGTGTATAATAATGGTACGTTGACTCCTATCAAACATTTGACGAAAAAGACGTATCCACTATTTTTTTGTAAATGTTTTATTTTATATGATTTTTGTAGTTACAATTAATGTCGATCTAAAATGGTATTTTCAAAGATATTGCGTAATAAAATTAAAGGAATTAAAAATATAAATTTTTATGGGATCACGCACCTTAAGTCATTTCAAAAAAGTTTTTTTATTCATCCTTTAGTTATAAAATTATATATAAAACAAAACTTAACCGACACTGTCAAATAGAACTTCAACTAAAAAAGAAAAACAACTTAAAAAATTTTAATAAAGCAATAAAATACACATTTAATACTTTTATTTATTATGTTTCCTAGTTCCAACACAATGCACTGTATGAGTACGGGTCATTCTAAAACATATAATTTTTATTTTTATGGACATATTCTTAGAATATTCTAAATATGTTTCGATTTTCTTTTAAATAATAGATAAAATAATGATAAAATTTATGAAAATTTGTACAAAAATCCTTTAAAAAAAAATCGTCAAATTTAGGATAAAATTTTTAGATATCTGAGAGATTTTCGTAAGTTGATCTTCAATTATGGACTGAATTTGTTATAGCCATTAGTTTCTGAAATAAATAATTAATGTTAAATTGTATCGTAAATGAAAACATGTTTTTGATAGAGGCCTAATAGTCACAGTGTTCTAAATATACTATACTCGATTTATTGTAATTTCTATAATTTTCCCAAGAGGTGTTTTGTAGTATACCGTCTCAAAATGTTTTAAGCTAACCTTTAATAATTGTCTATTTTGACGATATAAAAATAAAATTCGGCATAAAAGTCTTTCTGATTGCAACAATAATTTTATTAATATTATTATTACTACAATACTTGTAACAGATGTAGGATATAAGATCGTCTGTCAGGTTGACAGGATACGTGATAATAAATACTCTCTTATTTTTGTACGGTTCTGTTTGATGTGAAGTTAAGTTAACAAATAAATCATTCAAATATTAAATAGACTATTTTATAATAATATATGCTGCTGAAAAGATTTCAAGTGCATATTTCAATGGCATTTTAGTATGTAAAATAAAACAGAAAAAATATTGAAACATGTCTTTTTTGGTACTCTTAACATTATTATATTTCAAAATTCTTGGTCCTCAACGACAACGGCTGATGCGGAAGACTTCATAACTTTTTCAATGGACTGTGAAGACTTAATGGACGTCAACGATCTGGTACTGGATGATACAATTTCTTGTTTCTTTGTTGATGTATATGATGAGGAACTCACCGAAGATGAAGTTTCTTGGGCTTTAGCAACTAGCGATGTAGCTGATTGTTGTTGTTGTACAACAGACGATGATGTAGTTGAAGAAACTTGTTTTACAGACGATGCACCTAAAGACGTTACAGCTGAGGAAGTTTGCGAAGATTGCTGTTCCTGTTTTTGTTGCACAATTTCGCCAATTTCATTACCCTGCTCATCCTTGAGTTTCATGGCGGAAAATTCACTTTGAAGGCTAGTAGTATTGATGCCTCTTCCATCGTCTGGTGATAGAGGGCTAGTGATTATTGGAGAAGGTGATGACGACGGTGGCGCCATCACCGTGCCATCGATGGTCATCTGATCATCATTAGAGTCTAAAATCGACAACACACTCTGTTCCCCAACCAAAGAAGATGATGACAATTTTTGGACTGATGTCGCTGACATTTCTTGAACACATTTTTTTGTAACGGATGATTTTGTTTGTTCCTTCCACTGTTAAAACACATTATTATACACATACACAATGGATTAGATACGAATCACTGAATCAAGAACAAAACATACATATAAAAATATGAACAAACAATTTTAATGACAACTTGGTTAGAAAAAATATAACAGTGTGATATGGCAATACTAGTAATAACTTGTGTTGGGTTGCCTTGTTGATAGGGGTCAGTGAATAAGGGGACTCTGTTTAATAAAGAAAAAGCACTTAGTCCAGAATTTTATTAAAATATAATACCTACAAAATGTTTCGAATAATTGATTAAACAATTATAATGCATTATATTCCAATGAAAAATTCAATGTTTTGGTTGTAATTCCAAAAATGTATTTTAATATGATAAACATTTTGTATTGGACAATTTTAAATGTCAGGAATAATACTTTCAACTTGCCATTTTTCAAACTCTATGACAAGGCGAACTCACCTTACGTGAACTCGAGCTAAACAGAAGATTGTCAAATTCCCCATGTAGAAAATAGCTCTAAAACTGATGTTTTCAATAATTGTGTGTGTATGTCTTTATTTACATGTATTTGTAGGTTTTTATATAGTATTTATAGGGATTTACTAAATGTTTCTACATACAATGTACGGATATTACTTAGCACAGAGTAGTGGCAATGAGGTGTATGAGAAAACAAATTTTCAA